TTATGCATATAATAACCCTTTCAGGGGAGGGAGAAACATTTCCCGCACACCACGCTGATGAGCGTTCTTAGCAGAAAGTTCACCCAAGAAGCCGGCTACCCCTCCTGCGAACCTGCCTCCCTGATGTTAGCAGCAGGGCTTTTTGTTTTTGGCTCGTCAAAGACAAAGTAGAGAATGGAAGGGGGTGGTCATATTGGGAAGGGCACCTGAGTGGCCTGGAGCCACCAGCCGGGCCTCTGCCATGAATCTCCGAGGTGCCCTTGGGCCAGCTGCGCCTACACGCTCTGTCTTCAGTCATCCGTCTTTAACATGGAGACAATGGGACAAGATGATTTTGGATGTCATAGCGAGTAGGAGGGAAATGGGTCATGGAACGAATTCCCAGCTGCTCCTAAGCGAACGGCTCCCTTTTGGGTTTTCACCTGCTGCTGTCCTAAGGCACTTTCAGCCCAGATGAGTCTCTGTGATCGATAGCAGTGGCCTCGGCTATGCCTTGTCTCAACATAAAGCACAATTCGGGTTTCATTCGGGAGTTTGGTGTCGTGAAACAGTGAAATTCGGGATGATGTGCTTGGGGCTGGCCTAGGCGACCCTTTAAGAACTCTTTCCTGCTTCACCACCCCGTGACGCTGGGATGTAAGAGAGGCCAGACCTGGAGACCTGCTGAAGTCCTCAGACCTGGTCAGTGTAAGCTTTCCATACTCTATTTAAAAAATTTAAAAATACAGCTCAAATAAAAAGGCAGTGGAACAGTTTCACTAAAATTCTCATTACTGTCCATGAAATAACTCAAGCAGGAGCCTTTTTTTCTTTGCTAGTTTTTTAACAAATAATTTATTTTGCACTCCCACCGGTTTGAATCACAGTAAGGAACCTGCTGGACATTTTTATTTTGGGGCATATACATGTATCATTTGGCTAAAGTGTATATTATTCATAGTGATTCTATTTTCTACTCTCGAATGGGGATCAGTATTAGGACATTTTTCATATTTATAATAAAATTATACCCATATCAATACCTGCTTGGCCTTGAGTGCCCACACTTAGGTCCTCGGTTCCTTAAGCCACAGGAAGAATTTGTTGCCCATGGTGTTGATGAAGGTGATATCAGGGATGCCATTTATTAAATGTTTGTCACACCCAGGCTGGGTATAGACACTCGACATGAGCTGCTTCCATTGACTTTTCTCTGCGACCTCAGGGACGAGCAGTGTCCCCAGTCTATACACACAGTCGGCAAGTGGCAGAGGAAGGAATCAAACCCAGGTGGGTTTAAGGGACAGTGTGGTGCAGCGAAGGCCACGGACTCCTTAGCGGGAGCGTCCGCGAGCTGTCGTCTGTTAGCTGAACCTGCCCCTGTAGGTCGCGGCATGTGTGCCTCACTCTGCCCTTCTGCACATGGGGGTGAAGACAGTGAGGGCTGAGCGGACCGGCATGTGTCAGGCGGTTAGGACAGTGCTTGGCAAAGACTGAGGGCTGCACAGGCGCTGGCGCTTGTTCCTGCCGTCTGTGCCCTTGGACATAAAGCTCTGCTCTAAAAAGGTCCCCCCAGACTTGTCACCTGCAGAAGCTGTATTTGCCTTCTTGCAGCAAAGCTTGGAGAGAGGAAAAGGGGGGAACTCTCCCAGTCCTGCTTCTGTTGGTTTGGCATCAATTTGTGCCGCTATCGGAAACACCTGCGACAGGAAGTGTAGCAAACCTCATGGCACAGTCCGAGAAGAGAGATTTCATGTAGGGCCTGTGCACGCAGAAGTTCCGGGAGATCAGAAATATTCACGGCTTTCTCACGCACCGCTGCGCCTTTGTGGAACAAGGCTGGACATGGCCAGGGAGGGACTCTAGTCGAATTGGAAAACCCATGTCTGTCTCATGTTCCATGTCAGTAGTAACAAAAGAAATTAAAATTTAGACAAATAATTTTTTCATGTAATAATTTAGATATCCAGTGCCCACTGATGCTCCGGTTAGCAGATGGACAGATGCTGACATTTTGTGACTAATTGGTACAAGCGTTTTGAAACAGAAATAGTTAAAAGTGGCAAAGGGAAGTGGGTGTAGATAAAAGAAACCTTGCAACATTTCCTTCTGGAATTAATAATGTTATGATTATGTTTCTCTCTTGAGTTTATAGGCAATACTGTACCCGCATTCTCAGTGTCCTCAGACTATGGAAATATCACACAACATCACAGAGTTTTTCATGCTGGGACTGTCACAGGACCCAGAAATACAAAGAGTTCTTTTTGTGGTCTTTTCGATCATCTACGTGGTCACGGTTTGTGGCAACATGCTCATTGTGGTCACCGTCACCGTCAGTCCCGCCCTGGCTTCCCCCATGTATTTTTTCTTGGCCAACCTATCCTTTATTGACACCTGCTATTCTTCTTCCATGGCCCCTAAACTCATTGCTGACTCCTTGTACGAGGGGAGGACCCTCTCCTACGAGGGCTGCATGGCTCAGCTCTTTGGAGCCCATTTTCTGGGAGGTGCTGAGATCATCCTGCTCACGGTGATGGCCTATGACCGTTACGTGGCCATCTGCAAGCCCCTGCACTACACGGCTATCATGACCAGGCATCTCTGCGCCCTGCTGGTGGCGGTCACCTGGCTCGGGGGTGTCCTGCACTCATTGGTTCAGCTCCTGCTGGTCCTTCAGTTGCCCTTCTGCGGGCCCAACATAATTGATCACTTTGTCTGTGACTTGTACCCTTTGCTGGCACTCGCCTGCACTGACACACACGTCACCGGCCTCCTGGTGGTTGCCAACAGTGGTGCCATCTGCCTGTTGAGCTTCCTCATGCTGGCCGCCTCCTACGCTGTCATCCTGCGCTCCCTGGGGTCCCACAGTGCCGAGGGCAGGCGCAAGGCCCTCTCCACCTGCGGCGCCCACTTCACCGTTGTCACCCTGTTCTTCGTGCCCTGCGTGCTGACCTATGTGCGCCCTGCGTCCCCGTTACCCGGGGACAAGAGCATGGCGGTGTTCTACGGTGTTCTGACTCCGATGCTGAACCCGCTCATTTACACCCTGAGAAACGGCGAGGTGAGAAGCGCCCTGAGGAAGCTCTTCACCCGCTAAGCAACTGCAGGGGGATCGTGCCCGGTAAAACGGGAAATAAAATGACTTTAGTGCTGTGAGCGAAACAAAGCAACACTTCTTTTTTTGTTACCATATATCACCTTATTTCATCTCATCCACCCAGTCATCATCATATGCTTTTAGGGTTTACTGAGTCTTTTCACTTGAATTGCACAATTTGATTATAAAACAGCGATTTGAAATATATACGGACTGAATGATTCTTGTCTCTGTTTCTCGGAAATGAGAAGGATGCGCCCTGCTGCGGTTCATGGATTAACCGAGTGTGTCTGGCTCTGAGGCGCCTAAACCGGAGCTCAGAATCAGTTACTTGTGATTCATTATCCGTGTCTCTCAGTGTCACCCTGAGAGATACTAATGGTAATATCGCTCGAGCCTGTGCGATAACTGAGTTGTGCAAACGTGAGGCAAAATACAACCTAAGGCACAAAAACGTCACACTTTGCTGCATAGGAGCCTGTGCCTCTAGGCCTGGCTTCCCCTCCTCTAGTTGCCTTTGTGACGAGCCTGTCGCAGTGTGGCTGCTGCCCTGTAGCAGAGCGGGAGAGACCGTGGCTCTGGAGCAAGGTCAGCCTGAGTGGGACACTCATCTCCGGTGCTTACTTGCGGCATGACCTTGAGCAGGTGAGGAACCTCGGTAGGCCTCTGAAACCTGTCTCTAAAATAAATACAGACACTGAATCTCAAGTGTTACTGTGAGAATTAAATGAGATAATCTACGTAAAGTTCTTAATCGGATTTCCCGCACATATCCCCCCAACACATTTTGCCCGATATTATTATATGTACCCCACTCACCCTTTCCCTAACCTTCCGTAAGGAGGTTGCTTTCTTTTGTGTTTCCATCTCTACTAAGCTGGAAATATGCTGCGCCGAGAACAGTGGGTTGTTCTCCGGCCAGGGATGCAAAGCGGACCCTCATTCTTCCTCTTTCCGTCTCAAACTCCAAGGGATTCTCGCCGCCTGGAGTCTGAAACCTCCATCTGTGTTCATCCCAGATTTTACAAACTCTGACCATCTCCCTTCCCAGGCTTCACCCTTGAAGATGATGGGACCCTGTAATTTGTAACAAACTTATCTTTGTTTGACATAATCTCTAATTCACCATCATATTCACTTTTTACACTATGAAAAAAACACTGGGAGTACTTAAAATTAGTCTTCAATAACCAATCAATTCAGGAGATCATTGAGAAATAATGGTTTTTACCCCCAAATTCTACATCTAACAAAAACAACAGATGCTGGGTTCTTGGGCAAAACAAATATTGTCTTGTTTAACTTTGTCACATTTTGAAGCCTCATTAATAATTGCTAGGTATAACTGAGACCTTGAGTGCTATATCTATCTATCTCTGCTGTTAGGTAATAAAAGTATAACTGAGCAAATTTTCCAATCAACTAAGAAGTATGAAATCATTTCCCCATCAACTAAGAAGTATGAGGCTTACTTTAAAATAGCCTTTTTGCCAGCTTGCCACAATTTTATCCCCAGACTTTCTAGAAAAGCACACTTTCTGTAGTTGAAATTTGAACAGCACCTTTGAGTACAGTGACAACATTAAATAGCGTAAAGGACTGATCCTGTTGCACCCTTGCTTTTGGTTGTTGGAATCATGATGAATAATGGCCCAACTAACTTATAAATGAATTAAGGACAGAAAGAAATTAAGATCAGAAAAACACAAAAAGTGCTTAGGTCATGACTTTTTTCACAGAAGATGCTCAACAAACCTTAGCAATCACCATCATCATCACGTCATCATCTTTATTTTTACAGTATCCTGTTTCATTCCATCTTTCTGGGGACTACATTAGATGTTGAAATTTGATTTTTTAAACATACCATTGCTTGTATATATTTACAAGATGGTCACTCATAGGGAATTATGGCAAAACATCCATCTTTCAAAGGCCTTCATATAGAGAGGTCTAACCTGATAAACTTTTGTTTCCCATCAAGGTCCTGAGCAATGTGGAGGGAATTCTTTCTGTTCCTGATTTAAACCTTCCTTCTAACCCACAAAGCTGGGGACAGTGTCTCCCACGCTAATCTTCAGCTCGTTGGCACATGGCTCTGCCGCTGTCATTTACTTAAAGGTCCTTCTCTGTAATTCTTTCTTCATTGACTCTAGAGAAATGTTTAAGCTTTCAAGAGGTGCAGGATTTGTTGATGCATTGACCTCTCAAGTCCTCAGAGAATTAGTAATTGGCTCTGTTGAAATATTTCCTGAAGCTTTAGCCAAAGTCTTTCATTTGCTCCCACTTGGCACCCACAGCTCTCATTGGAGGCCAGTTTTAGAAACACAGTTGCTCGTTGGTTAGACACGTATCTCTGGCTGTTTTGGGATGGGACTTGGTATGGAAGCTGGAAAGCTCCTCGTAGGGCTTTGTCGCTCATTTTGACATTGGTGAACCTGGCACAGGGTATGCGGTGTTGTTGGGCATAGGTCAGAGTTCAGAGACTAGATAAGGGGGTGGGGGCAGGTAGAAGAGGGTAGTGGGGATAAATGGTGATGGAAAGAGACCTGACTTGGGGTGGTGAACACACATACAATATACAGATGGTGTGTTATAGAATTGTACACCTGAAATCTATGTAATTTTACTAACCAATGTCACCCCAATAAATTCAGTATATAAAAAAAGAAATCACAGGTTGTACCTACCCCTAGAATGCTACTTGGGAAAGATATAATAGGTCCATCCGATAACAAGGCATCTTATTTGTAGCGCTTACTTTGCATGGAGGTAGCAATCACTGACCCATTGCTAACGACTCCTCTACAGGTTCATCCAATTTTATCTTAAGAATAATGTTTTCCCCTCACTGACTTGAAAACAACTGCTGCAGAGACTTCCTAACCAATGCTGAGCTCATGGGCTGGTGTAGGTTTGCTTTATAGGGTCACAGCACCCTGGGAGTGTGAGGCACAGCATCCCAGCTCAGATAATGCATTTCTTTAGTCAGACAGCCTCCGAAGTTTAGGCTCCAAAAGCAATTGATGGGGAAAAAAAATCTAACCATTGGAGAACATCTCTCCAAGCCACTTCCTACTCATTTGCCAGTCTTTTTCGGTGATGAGATGAAATATATTATAAAAGGCACTTGATTTGAGATCTAACCTGATTTAAAGCCCTGAAAATAGCAGGCTATGTTATGGCCTAAAAGTTAGGGATTATAAACACTGTAAAGTCAGCAACAAATGAAAGTTGCCTTGGAGTAGCTGGTCCCTGAATTTATAGCTCTTTTTAGCCGTTTTCTTAGTAAGACTGTACTTAGCCAAGAGACAACTCCTTTGTCAGGGAGTCTGGATCCAAATGGCTTGGAAACTCAGAACCAAGCAGCTTCTGTGACCAGTGGCTGGTTATGCATATTCTCACGTGTGGCTTCAGGGAAATACTTAAGTGGGTATTACTTAAGTGCAGGGAGTTAAGGTGCCTTTTACCTCTCAGCTCCCAGAGGAGAGGTAGCCAAATGGCAGCCAAATCGGATTACACTTTCTGTGTTGTGGCCATGGCATATGTGTCAGGGGGCGAGGGACAGCTGCCTGGGCTGGGTTAGCAGCTTTCTACGACTGTGTTTAGGAAGGGATTCTAGGGTCTGGGACCTAAAGCACAGAATGTTCTAGTCACCAGAGTGTGGGTGCAGGAGCCAGTCAGAGTCTATAGAACAAGTGTGAATCATGCCTGTCCCACAGGGTTACCGGGGAGATTGCGCAAAGCAACACGTGAACCTCTTCGTCAGCGCAAGACTGCTGTTCCACTGTCAGTGCCCCGGGGACAGGCGCGTGTGGGCCAGAGGAACTGCTCTTTAAGAATAAAAATCGGAATCAAGCTTACGAGTAAGAGTTTTGCGGACTCTTCTGTTTCTATATTATCTTGGGCAATTCCCGCGCCTCTTTGTGCCTGAATTCCCACCTAAACGTGGGACCGCCCGGGGGCTCTGTGAGACAAAGCCTGCAACGGGCTTAGACTGCGCCTGGCGCGGAGGAAAGGCTCAGTGTGTTGTCATTTTCTGTTACAGGAAATGAGAGCTCATGGTGTGACAGATTCAGATTTTTGGCAAGAATTGTCTCTGTCTGTGTCTATGTCTATATCTAATCTATATCTGTATCTATATGTATATATATGTATATATGTGTATTATATATATGTATATATATCTATCTTGGTAGAATCTGGGCAAATACAGAAATAAGGAGAGAAGAAAGACCAAGTTTTAAAGTATTGGATACTGACTCATAAGTCATTATAATTCTGAAATCTTTTTATGAGAGTTTGATCTTTTTACTAAAAAATCTGACAGTGAAGTTGAGAGTCCTTGAAAAGTTGCAAGAGATAAAGGAAATGTGGATGCAATGAGACTAATAAATAATGAGCATTCTGTGTTTATATCACTCTGCTGAGTGTGGGGTTTGATCTAATTCTCACATAATCCCCATGAGAGAAGAATTAATAATTCTATTTTATGTTTAAGGAAATTGATGCTCACTGTGAACATCAAGGTCAAAAAAGCTAATATTTGGTAGAGCTTTGATTTAAATGCAAACTGATCTAATTTCTAAGCCTGAGCTCTAACAATTGTGCTATTGCTGCGCATTAGACATTGATTCCATGATGTGTCCCAGGCACTGGGAATGAAGGGGGAGGAGATGCTGATTCAGATAGTTAGAGGCTTTGGCTCTACCGCCAGTGGCAGAGAGGACACCTTCCTCAGACAGATGCCACTCGCAGCAGTGGCCATACAGGAGAGCCATTTCACTGGTCAAAAAGGAAATCATGACGAAAATTAGAAAATACTTTGAGATGAATGAAAATGAAAACACAACATACCATAACCTATGGCATGCATCTAAATCAGCGCTTCGTGGAAAATTTATAGCTATAAATACCTATGTCAATAAAAGAAGAAAGATCTCAAATCAATAATCTAACCTTCCCTATTAAGATGTTAGAACAAAAAAAGCAAAATAAAA